TAGCTCTACTTCATCAGCAAAAGTATTTAAACGGTCACAAAGTATACTAGTAAAAAGTTTTCCTAAACAACTAAGTAAAGTAATTGGTCTGTAATTTTCAGGATGGCTTCTATCACCTTTACCTTTATAAATAGGTTTAACTAATCCTACTAACCAGTCCTCTGGTATTATGCCACTATCAAAGATAACGTTGAATAATTCTACATACAGCGGCAGAGAGCTTGAAATAGTCGTTTTCATATACTCATTCAAAACATAATCACCCCCTGGCGTTTTATTGATTTTTAATTTATTTACTGCATTCTCTATTTCTTCACCTGTGATAGACTGATTAAGGATACTGTCATTACTTAAGTCTACGTTAAATTCTATGTCATCATCTGTGACAATACTTTCATTTGTTTTCTTTAAAAAATCAAACATAGAATCTATATCAACACTTGTTTCATTTTTCGGGTTTGAGCTATTTAAAATATGCCAATATTCTTTCGGTTTTCCATTTTGTAATAATTTAATTTTGCTTGTATTCTTGCCTCTCATTGGTTGATTTCCAAAAAGGAACGCATAACATTTTGTATAATCTGGTTTGGTATGGGGACACACCCCCTTGACAACCAGCATAATCATCTGTATCCATCAATCCCCTCATTTCCAGTCCTTGGGATTTATGGAAAATTCCAGATTTAATGAATGTACCTTTAATTTCAAACAGTTGCTCGATCTTACCTCATGTAAACAAGCATCATGGCTGCTAGACCTATGTATCAGTTTTTACCTCCCCTCGCTTCCCATCACTTCCGTTACTACGGTTGTATTATTGCGCGGTAAATTTTAACTCATAAAAACAACACAATTTTACATCCCTAGTCCAATAATTATTTTAAAATTAAATTATAAGGAATGACTCTAATTCTTGGCCAAATTATCGAGTATAATATGGTTTGGGTCAGTTTACGCTTTTTTATAATCCGCTTCACGGATTATAAAGCGTAAACTGACCCAAACCATATTATACTCGATAATTTGGCCAAGAATTAGAGTCATTACTTAAGTGATTTAAGTTTATCTGAAATTCCATTATTATACTCCTTAATATATTTATCCATAACTCTCTTATATTCTTTACTCATATTCTTTAGATTCTCCTTTGATTTAGTTGACTTTTCTTTATTATTTAAACGTTTCGCCAAATGAAAATTTCTTCTGGCTGTGCGGCAGCTATTATTAAACCATGGTTTATTTTTGTTATGTGACTTAAAGGGTGGGTGATTTCTTCGTCTTAAAGTCTTCCCCGCCGAATCTATAAAAATGTTACAAACATCGTTAGTTATTTTATCTATATCATGTTGATTTACAGGTTTCTCTTTTAATTTTTCAATACTTCCCAAAACGTCATTTAATGTGTCCTCATTAATATTATTCTCAAATTCAGTAGCCTTTGAAGGATCCCAGATGAATAGTTTTGATTCTACCTTTTCACATACTTGACTAGATGTTTGAGTATCTTTAGATGTGAGGTTTAAAAGTTCGAAGGTTATTGGACAATGGACATCGGAATATAGATTACAATGATCATGTATGACAAATTCCTTAATCTGCCTTAATAAAAATGCATTACATATTACATAATCAACAGTACTACTATCTTTACAAGTTAACCTACTTTTTCCTATTCGACCATTAACAAGAAAAAGGTTGTTATTTTTACATAATTCAATCAATTTGTATCCATAATTATTGCAAATATTATCACTATTCACTCTTTCCAGTGAAACGTTTGAATTCAACAATACATTAACTTCTTCTAAAGATTCTTGTGTTTCTTCGTCCAACATACCATGCTTTACAAAAAAGTCATCCAAGCATACAAAGTCTTTTAATTTACCTGTCCGTGCATTAAAGTCACCCAATAAACAGATATTTTCTGAATTTTTAGAAAGAAATAACAGTTCTCGTTCAATGTCATTAAAACTATCAACTGATGTGTATCTAGTATTTTCTGGAGGTATATACGTAATTCCAAACAATATATTTGACTGTAAATCTACAACTTCTTTCGATAACTTAAACCAAAATACATATTCACAATTTGAGGTTATAACATCAACATATTTAACTAAATTTTCTCTCACTGCAAGGATAATTCCTCCTGATTTAACTTTTGCAATATTGAATCTATTTTTCATATATACAACGAACCCTGGTATATTTTTGACATCAGTGTTATCCGTTTTTGTCTCGGTAAAGCATAAAACATCGTATTTACAAACAAAATTTAAAAATTCAGGATAATTCAACTTTTTACGTAGTCCACAGACATTTAAAGATAAGAATGTCAATGCCTGTGCCGCCTGGTCCCCCTTGTGTCCCTACAGTCGGTCTGGCGTCGATCCGTAGCGTGGTCTTTTTGTCGACGGCGCGGCCTGTCGATCAGCTGGGGCTCCCGAGTTGACCGCGTTACGGTACGGTGGTCGTCCCTGTTGCATGGGTTGCCGATCAGCAGGGGCTCCCGAGTTGGTTGCGTTACGGTACGTTGGTCGTTCCCGTTGCGTGGGCTGTCGATCTGCTGAGGCTCCCGAGTTGATCGCGTTACTGTATGATTGCCGTTCCGGTTGGGTAGTTGTGTCTCTGTTCAGATGATATAGTTCACCGTTAATATAAAGTTGATCTCTCACTAGCTTAACGCGCTTTCTGTCCATTTTTGCCTGCCTCATGATGGGATATAATTTCTTTCTGCGCTCCTCGATTTCTGGGGGGAACTGTTCATTGACCCACACGTTAGAGCCGTTAAGTTTCTGCGGGGCGCGTGTCCTTATTAATTCCCTCTCTTTGAAGTAGGTGAATTTGGCAACGATGTTTCTGGGATATTGTAGATAACCGATTTGTATACATAAGATAAACAAAGCCTTATAATGGGACCAAAGTCATATGTATCAGAAAGAGTATCATCTGCAGGCTATTTATTCATCCATTTTTTAAAATTGCTAAGTACAAAACATTGCGCGACGCACGAAAATAAAATGTCGCTGCGTGATGCTAAAACCTCAAGAAAACCCCCCACTAATTCCATGACTCAATGTGGAATGAAATCTGGACAGATACCGCGATTCGAAGATTGAACTCATAGCCGGAACCTATATTACAGTAAAATCCGGAACCAATATTATGATTTTAAGGTTCCGGCCGGAACGTGAAATAGCCGGAACGAATATTATGCGACACCACCTGTGCCAACGTAGCCGCCTATTTTAAAAAGTCGGATTTCAACCCCATGTTTATAAAACGTTATAAAATTCATATTTATCAAATCACAAACACCAAAATTTGAGTAATAAAACAGTATTGAGAATTTTCCCTTTCATTAAAAAATTACAGGGTAGTAATCACTTTACCGTAGGATTTTAAATATAATATACTAAATTTTAATTGCAACTTTTGGGTATTGCGCCGCCTTCCTACACCAGACAATTAAATGTGTCTTTAAAATTGGAATAATTTGTATAGTTACTCCATATTTGTCCATAAATTTATTAGATAGTAATGGTTTAATCTATATACGAAGTTTCATTTATGTATGACATTGGGTTCCTACATAACAATGCTTGTCTACGGAATTTTGGGACAACCCTCGTAAAATGCAAGGTTTACCCTGTCAAGGCTTGTGGCGAATTACATTGTAATGTAATGCATTACATTACCATTACTTCAACAATTTGGGCATTAAATCACCACCACCATTACTCTATTTTCTTAAAGTAATGCATTACATTACCATTGCTTTACTAGTGAAGTAATGTATTACCATTTCCATTTCTTTTGAAGGGTTTTAAAAATAGAAAACCAACCTTTGCAATTTGTCTTACATAAGCATTGATCCAACCCCCCCCCCCCCCCCTTCAAAACTAAACATGATGAATGATAATTCAAATTTGATTTCAAGTACTTGCATATATAACACTGTCAATAACGTCTACTCATAAGGAGTTCAAACGTTTAATTTGTCAGTAATTTAAACTAGAGGTATTGTGAGCAATGAGCTCACTAAATAATACCCCCACGCCTCCCACTTGGTGATAATGGCGAAGTAAATGTTTTGCTGTGGCCGGGAAACCCAAAATATATGTCATATCAAAAAGTAAAATAGAAGGGAATATGTAATAAAGATTCTATGAAAGTTTCATCAAATTTCACTCATTGGTATAAGCGGAGTTGCGGAAAAGAGATGGGTTACCCAAAGCGTAACAGACAGACAGACAGACGGACGGACGGACGGACATACAGATTACTGTTTACAAAGTTTTTTAGTGACAGTGATACCTGATTAGTAAATTTCATACCTGGCGTGGCGGAGCCGAATTGGGTATGAAATTTACTAAGCAGGTATCATCCCATACCCTGTCACTAAAAGACTATGTAACGAATTTACCCCACCGATGAAACATTTAAGTCTTATCTGTGGTTTATATCGTGACGTCATAATAGGCACAGTATAAGCGCGATGAAGCATTCAGCAGAGAAAGTCATTTTATTAACCACAGATAAAACTTAAATGTTTCATCGGTGGGGTAAATTCGTTACATAGTCTTTTAGTGACAGGGTATGGGATGATACCTGGTTAGTAAATTTCATACCTAACTCGGCTCCGCCACGCCAGGTATGAAATTTACTAACCAGGTATCACTGTCACTAAAAGACTTTGTAACTTATAATACCCTCCCTCTTTTCAAGCGGGTTATAAACATGTACAAAATGCACTTTTTGTGTAACAATTGATGTCATAAAGCAATTTAACTTCTGGGATACTTTAACCCATGCCCTAAATATCTAATAACTAGAGGTACTGTGAGCAACGAGCCCACTAACTGATACCCCCACCTCCCATTTGTATAAAATGGCAGTGTCCACGTTTTGTAATGGGAAACCCAAAATATGTGTCGGATAAAAAAATAAAATAGAAGGTGCACAATGGCAAAATGTAATACCATTACAATTTGCATTACCCCAAACCTGACCCTGTCCGTCCACGTCGACTCCGCGGTTAAGCATTCTAACGGAAGTGACGTAATACTCATTGAGAAGATCGACTCTCCACCAGGTTGTCTCGTTTAGATAAGTGTGAGTGCACGCCTCGTCAGCAATCAATGTTGTGCTTCTAATTCCGTCTACTGCCTTTTCCGGTCCGTACATTGCAAAAGTTGAAACCTGTTCTGCTGGTTTACCCAAGGCAACATCTTTAAGGACTAGAAATTATATTCAGAAATTGTTCAAAGATTTTATGCCCTTTTACAAACCAAATACAAGCAATACCTTAAAAGTAATATAATTTTTAATTTCCGTTTTATATTATCACCTACGAAAGAAATGGAAATCTTTTTAAACTGTTGTATTTTATACTTTTGATGATTTATTTAATTACTCCTATTATACTCATATCCTAACCATAAACTGTTGAAAAGCTTTATATTAACACTGTGCTGTCGTGTAAACTTTTAATCATTTAAGGTCTTAAGCGGTGCACCTTGCTAAATATAGAGAATAAATCTTGTCACATCTTACATGTATCACCCAAAGTCAATAAAAGCGTGCAATCAATGTCGCCGGCATTTCTGAGTGAAGGGGTTACCGACAGGGTGCAAGTATTATTAGTGATAATATATTTATAACTTAATTGACTTGAAAATATTGTTTTCTGTAAACTCTGGCAAAATATTTTAAAACGAGAGAGCCTTAAATCTGCTATTTGGTAACTTACGTTACTGTCGCCAGATAGAGTTTTCATCTTCAACGCTCTTAAAATAAAAGAAAAATGCTACACTGCTTTTTCAAATAGCACTAATTGCTGTATATGATGCTCCTTTTTGAATTTTCAGTAGTCTTCACTATCATTTTGGTTGTTAACTATGATTTTCATGGAACAATCACTGTGTCGCCAGGTTAGTGTTTTAACATATATAGTTTTTCTAATGTTCCGAATGATGACTTTTTATTTTATTTTTTAATAAATGTTTACGTTTAATTTGGAGATAATATATGATCATTCATTTTAAAAAAGAGAAAATCATAATTGTAATGCTATTTTGATGACAACTTTTTCGAAATTAGGAAATTTATTTTTCTGGAAATAAAAATGTAACATACGTTACATCATTTTAGAGTCACTTTCAATCATGCTCATTTGTCAATAAATTAAGAATTCTAAGGTCAGGCAACAACTGATTCTGAAACTCCATCGGAATATTAAAGATTGTGTTTAACATACGTGATGTAACATACGATACCGGGATTTTCTATTCTGACTTCACTGCGACATTTACCCGCGAAATTTGGTGTCACGTGAGCTTAAAAGAATGCCTGAACATGATCTGTACGACACAAAAGCACGTTTGAACAGTTTTTTCTCGACCCTTTCATATCACAGCTATAAATAGTAAGGTTTGTTATGTTTAGCTGTTATAAGGTGATAAGGTGGAATCATTTCATACAACTCTTATTTAAAATATGACAGAAAGCCTTTAGTTGGTAATAATACCAAAAAAAAAAAACATTACTCCAATTTACTCGGATACATTGGAAATTGGCAATAAAATGAAGGTAACATACGTTACACTTAGTAACGTATGCTACTCAAACTTTTTACATTTCAGTAAAACATTTAATAATTGTGAAAAATCAAAACTTCTCGTATATTCATTTCAATACAGATAAGATGAGTTAATAAAATAAATCTCTTTAATATATTTTATTATATTTAACCGTATAAAATGAATAATAAGGCCCTACCTAGGATTTGATGTCAATTTTATTTTATTTTTTTATTTTTTTTTTTTTTTTTTTTTTTTTTTGGAATTTTGCAGAAACGATTTGATCCTAAACTGGGAATTAAATTTAATACTGCCATTGTATAAGAATTACTTTTAAATATTCTACTTTTCACTTAAATTGGGGAAGGCATTTTATGAAATGGTATTCAAAAACATAGACAACAATAAATAGATAAGACATTGGGTAACGTATGTTACTATATTTGGTTACTTTTATTTTAGGTAAAAATGGTTCTTTCGCGTGCTAAAATTCAAAAAGTGTATTGAGAAAGAGATAAAAGGCAAAAGAAGGGAAAAGTTTCTGGCGAAAGGAAGGACAAGGCAGAAGAAATTTGATAGATTTGAGCAGTACATAGTCAATTTTAGAGAGAATTTTGATTCTTTTATTTACAAATAGAATGATACATTATGTAACCTACAGAATCACTTACAGAATCACATCGAGGATGTACAAATACCGGTACATTATTAGATAAGTGTCTGAGCTGCTTTAGTGTTTCAGTAATTTGTGGATTTTCTTTTCTGTCATGCAGTTGAACATGTACATTAAAGTTTTGAATTGTAACATACGTTACTATAAATTACATTAATACAAGCTAAACTTGATAAAAATGTTTTTATTATGTTGAATGTTAGACATGAAATAGGAAATACGATCATCGTTTTAGCCAAAAAGACAACCTTAATGTACAATTTCATTTTATAAATGTACAGTTGTCATTTTATAATTTTGTCCAATAATTTTACTTTGAATTAATAATAAAAACACCATTGCTTTATTCAGGAATGACCAACTGCTAAATTGTACGTGATATGTATGTGTTCTAGTAAAAAAAAACTGTTATTTTTCATTTGAATGCACTTTACAGAGGTGTTTTATGTACACATAAAAACGGAGTAACCTACGTTACTGTGAGTGCACTTTTAAACTTCATCTATATATTTTTTTAAAATAGCACTTGAAACTTCATGCACGCTTACTTTATATCATTTATATACCATATTAGATTTTTCCCCCGTTTTTTGTTCAATTTTTAATCGCATATCAAAAGTATTGATATTGGAATCTAGTCATGTTTTGTGTTTTGCCAATTTTTTCGTTGGTCGTTTTTCTTACCCTTCTTACCCGAGAAATGACCGATAATTCTTGATGACTCATGGAACATTCATAATGAATTTTGTTACCGTCCACATTCAATAGATGACGTCATTTTTCTTTATACGTAGAAGACCTCACCTATTTTCATATTAAGTCGTTCTGTGTATCTTTGGCACTAGGAATATTAGAAGTTCTATCGAACACTTTTGATGCAATGCAGATTTTTTGAGAATCAATGCTGAAATGCTTCTTTTGTTCCCCAAATACTTAACCTGGTGACATGTTTCTGAAGGATCAACTTTATAATCGAGTTTAAATGTAACTATTTTGCCCCACAGTACTAAAATTTTGCGTAGTTTTTTTCACAGATTTAGCTAAAAGGATGATATTTAGTCCAAATAACTCACGTAATCGGCATATATCAGACAGGTGTGTTTGATAATTGGCGGTGCATGTTGCTATTACTTTTCCAGAAAGAGCTTTGTATCCCTGTTTGCAGCTGCCAGTCAATGATGATCCAGGAAAGAAAGGTTTCGTCTTATTAAAGTTTGTATTCTCGAATTCCAGTGGACATTCTATGGAAAAGAATATTGTATGCTAATATTCTTATAACAAAGCCCTATCCAGATCAATTCTGTTTTCAAACAATAAACTAAAAGCTATGTAATCGAATTTTTACTTTATAAAAAGACGATTCAATTTATATTTATTATGGTAAAAAAAAACTTACCACGTTTAAGGTAAAACATCCATCCATCCTTCTGTTGTGTATTGTCTTCAATATCCGGAATACAAACTTCGTGCAGCCGACATTTCTTCTCTTTAAAATTGTAGGAGAGACACGAACATACATTTATTTCGTGACATTCCGTAGCACAAGGTGGTAATAAGTCAAAAGAGGCATTTTTAAAGATGTCAGGCTCAACCAATTTGTTCCTATAACCGAGTTTTGCGGTATAAAATGTTGTCAGAATAACGGGTGATACCACCTTAACGAAAAGCAGAAAGACTCCCTTAAAAATTAAGAGAGTTGAAAAAGTCATATTACATTTATAGCATCTGTTCGACAAACCAGGAGCAAACATTAAGAAAAATCTCACCGCGTTTCAAATTTTTAAACACAAGTTTGTTTTTTTTTCATTACTCCACCTCCTTTATATAAATTTAACTAATAAAACTAGTTTTAAGACAGAGGTTAGGTATTGATTCACATCCATAACTGAGCGAACAATCATAACAAAATCTAAGACACGCAAGTCTAAGATGTGCATTTAATTTTGTGAACAAGTTATAATCGATTAGCACCGATGCTGTTAAACAACTAGAAATAGATATGTTAAACGAAGAACTCAAGAATATATAATGTTGGAAAATGGGGAATTGGACTTTTGCGAAGAGCACAGACTTTTACATTTGACGGTTTATTTCGACTTTATATTTAAACTTGTGGCATGTATTGAGGTACAAAATTGTTGATAGATACATGTAAGATTGTAGTCAAAGCCAGAAGGCATGGGTTTGGGGGCACTGACATGTGACGGGCTGTATGGTAGAGTGGTTGTCAGATTCTTCATGGTTAACATAATGTGCTTCATTTCTGTCCGTTATTTTAGTTTAATTGGGTTTAATTAGTTAAGTAGTAAATGTTTGGCTAAATATTTTTATTGCAAACGAGATTCTCTATTTTGTCCAAGTGTTAAAGTAAGCCATCGAATGTTAAAGTCAACTCTCTTCGCAAATGTCCATTGGTCAATCCACAAGTGCAATTAAAACATAGAGTTTTAAAGTTATGTATAATTAAGCAAAATGCATTGCATGTAAGGTGCAGACAGCATTTGATTTAAGGCCGTACAAGGCAAAGAACAAGGTATGGTTTCAATACAATTTTTGTCCTGTGATTTTCTAAAAAATGAAACTAGTGTAAAAGTTGAAAATTCTTGCTTTTTAAATAATTGAAATTCAATGCAGAAAAATCATACAAATCATTTTTCTAACACGTGTTCTAAATGCTAATTGTGACGTCACAAAAATGTGCACTTTCCCGTATTTTCTTCAAATGTTGCAGAAGACACCAATTTTCAATTGAGTTTTCTTTCAGATAACATTGTCCACAGGCATCGCCCACAAAGATCTTGAGATATGTGATTTTTTAACTTTGGCGACGGCTGTGGACACTGTTTTCTAAAGGAAAATCACCCTTGAAATGGGCCATTTTGAGGCTTTTTCTGTTGAAAATAGAGAAATGCTTCATATTAATGATGTCATATTTGCAGAATCGTAATCCTTCATGCCATATTCTTTCCTGATTTATCACAGCCATATATTTTACTAATATTTAAGCCAGTTTAAAAACTTTTTGATTTCATTACATTTTTAGGGCGCAATAAAGCTAAAACCATACCTTCTTCTTTAGCCATATTTCGATTAGAATTTATCTTTTGTAAAAGGCCTTCAAAATTCAAAAATGTTTTGAGATAAATATAAGACCCTCCGAAAGTGGTTGGATATGATTTAATTCAACGAGTTTATTCTATAGAAAAAAATAAATAACACACATTGATTTGCATTAAAATCATCCAACCGCAATTCATTGGAGATTCTTTATTCACCATGCATTATACATAAATTTCAAATTTCTAAAAACACTGTTTTCTTTTATGTAAGAGTTCATTCAATCTTTTTATATCACTCTTACACAAAATACATTCTGACGTCACAACTATAGAAATTCAACCTAATATCCGATGATACATGTATATACAGGGATGAAGGAGTAAACATGGACTAAAACTTTTATTCTAGTTTTACTTTTAATCTATGTTAACTCTTAAAATTTCGTCAGGTATATATCATATAGATATTCAAAGTTTTTACATTTTCTTTTATTTAAGCAATTAATCATTATTTTTTGGAAAGATATAGTCTCATAACTGCAATGGTGTGTGCAAACAAACTGAGTACCGAGCGTTAGTAATGATACTTTATCTTCCAAAAAATAATGATTTATTGCTTATATTTAAATTATATTAATTTTCCATTTCTACTTTTTCTCTGTGATAACTCTTTGAAAGTTAGCGGAGTTGATTTCTTGATAATTCTACCGGTATGTAAATTAGGCAGGTCGATAGGCCAGGAGCTAAGGAGGTCTAATATGCAAGGAAATCTCGTGCGCATCTGTCTCTGTGTCCTACGATAAAGAGGCAAAATATGCATTTAAATCTCGTGCGGCTGCCTTTGTGTTTGACATTAGTGGAGAAGGACTATTGAAATTAGCATGGGAGTCCTCGTGTAGTTTAAATCTATGTTGACATTTTGAAAGTCTAAATCTACAATTTTATTTCCAATGAAATGGAAATATTAGGAATCACTATCTAGTTACATGTAGCAAAGTATGCCAGGGACATCAACGATAGCACTATCGTTGATGCCCAGACATACTATACTTAATTGTAACTAGACAGCAATTCTTTAATTTATCTCATATTCCCTTACATTGCAGATGTGATTCCTATATTATCGCACGGATAAGTTCCAGTTAATGCGAGCCAATGCAACGGTTTCTGTTCAATCTCAGTGTGATGTTTGATTTTCGCCTTTGACGTAGCAGTTTCACTGCGTTCAAAGTTTGTGATGTCAAACTAAGATGTCATTTTAACCCTTTGACCCCATGTCCGTGTTATGGTGTTTTGAATCCCGTAAGTTTCCGCTCACTTTATCTGAAAATTACATATGTAATGTAAATATAATTCAGGGTCTCCGATCCTCAGCCAGGAAGAACAACTCTTTAATTTATATTTTAATTGAAAAGGTCTAAAAATGAAACTTAAAAATTAAATCGTTCCATGCAACAATTTTCATTATATACCTCTCAATGTGCTTCAAGGTTATTTGAAGTTCTCAGAAAGGTCTTATAAAAAGTCGTACTTTTTACCCCGTAAACGCATTATAAAATTACATATATCAAGAAATTGATGTTCATTTTAATTAAACCTTAGATACCAATGCTTTTTAACATGATATGAAATAAGAAGTGATTTATGGTACTTCACAATGACAGGAGAATCTTTACACAATTTGCCTTGTAAATGATCGAAGTAATTAAAAGAAATTAAAGTACATAAAATGTATAAAAATTGTGGAATTTCTTCAAAAGCCTGGATACCTATGATTTTTATTTTTAAAATTTGTTAATTAATCAAATTTGAATTAGAAAATGCATCGCAAGTGTTTTTATTCGCAATTCCTGAAAATAAATTTGAGATTTACTAATTTTCTCTATATAATATGATTTTACTTGAAAGATGAAGTTTGAAGAATTATTGTGGGTAAAAACAAGTTACATTGAAAATTCAGAGACATTTTTGTGAGCATTTTCAATTAGACAATACTTGATTTTCAGACCCTGAGGATCGGAGTACCTTAAAAACTTTTAATATGGTTTAGATCATCCTAAAATGATAAAATTAATATAAATAATATCATTGATTTCTTGAGTTTTTTTGTCCCTGTTTTACCCAATACAGATATCAAAGAACGACATATACAATATTCCAGGTAGTTTCAGAATTGAGTTTTGTTAAAGTTCAATGACATATTCAACATAATTATTGAACTTATTTACATGTATTTTATTCCCTGATCAATTTGAAAGTTCCAATTATTGGAGGAATTTTTGCGATTTTATAATGCCTTGCAATACTTAAAACCCCCTCTTAAAAAAGTTTTGGTGAATACCACAAAAAAATATATACATGTTGATTTTTCTTTTTAAAAAAAATACTAGGGATTTCATCAATTTATATCTGGTCAAACTCTTGTTAATGTATAATGATTTTTTGATCTAATGATCTAATGGTACTATGATTTAAAATTGAGAATATCTAAGAAAATTATCATTGGGGGAGGTATATGTATATGTACATGTATATTGTAGAATTTATTAACATGAACGTTGCTTATGGGTTCAGTCATTCCCATCAAAAGGAGAGGAAACATACAGATTCATTTTAAAATTAACAACAGTCATTATTGGAAGAAATAAAGAAATTTATCAATTATTAATTTCTATTTACCTTGCTCTGACTTAAACGGATTTATAAATGAATATAAGATCAACAATCTGCCAAATTGGGTTAATCAGCGATTAATAAGTAACATTTCACGCTGAAAGTTTTGTCTTGGGAAAAGGTGTAATGAAACGTTTATTTTTATGAATTTGGAACCGTTACACCATTCCTCTTATAAAAGTATTATCTTAGAAAAAATATTTATTTGAAAAAAAAAATCAATACATTTAATTGAACACTTTGTTCTGTATGTCGGAAAAAAATCATGCAATTTGGTAAACAAAAAGTATGCAAATGATATAGCGTACTTTATTGAAAAATCTTTGTTTCCTCTCAAGATTTCGAAAGTCAAATTTGGCCAATTTGTTAATTACCTATAAGATTATATTCAACTATTTTTAAGCAATTGTGAAAATGAAAATGCACTTTTGAACAAACAGTACTAGTGAAATATATATTTTATTCTGAATGTTTTTGAACACTTCAAAAATGCATTGGAATAGACGGGTTTTCAGTGTTTAGATCACAGGAAGCAGTAAATTGTTAATAAAAAAAAGTCGAAATTATAGAAAAATTGTATGAACACGTGTTTGTTAAGAGAGTTTATACTCGTCCAGATTACGCTTTGTGCTCGAAAGGTCGTGATTTGAATCTCGGAAGCGACAGACCAATGTCGAAAACAAAATGAGTAACTCAGGGCCCGGCCCTTTGAATGTAAGGGTGTAGGTCTTTCGGATAAGACTTTAAAAACCGTGGCCCCATATATTATGACAGACGATCGCACGATAAAAAAATCCCTCACTTCTCAATTGCCATAAGTTTCGGGTAAAGGTCAAAGTTGAAGCCACTGGTATATGGGGATTTATATATATGAGTGAAAAATTCTCGAATAACAATATACCAGCAATTAGACGGCCTGATTGAATTTATTTTTGTTTTCTAAGAACCAACGTTGTCTGCAACCCCATTCACAACCCAATTACTGTTGATTATA